TCTTTCCATGCAAAGCAAATTTTGTTAGGTTGGTGGCTGCAAGTTTGGTAACGTACTACAGACCACGCAAACTGTTTCTGCTAACAGAATTGTCACACAAAGCAAGAATTAGTACCATCAGCTTTTTATAAAGGAATGCCAACAGGAATTAGATCAGATTCAACCACTTGGTTGCAACTGAGGAGTGAGTAGCTCAAGATCAGGAGCTGGGCAGCCTGTGCTTTGTGGCCTTTCCGCTCCCTCAAATCCTGGGAGACTTTGCACGTGTGGTATGTTGGAATAGTTGGGGAAGGCTGGGGAGATGCTTCAAGTTGCAACACAAGTGTAAGCAGCTGAGTTACACAGAATGCCTGGTAGCTCATTTTTCACTGGGTACATGTTGGTAAAGTGGTAGCCAACCTCTTCATGAACTTCTTGTAGGCAACTCTGCTGAGTTGTGAGTCTTTTCAGTGGGAATATAGCACAAAGCAGGCATACCAGGATTTAGACCACTGACTTTAAACTGAACTGCTTATTAAAAATTGCTTTCACTTTAAATAGCTTTAAAGTTTTCAATAAAATATTTTAAAATAGTTTTAATTAAATGAACCTAGAAGTAGAGGATCTTTGATACCCATATCTGATATACATTTGAATAAATAGTTTTATATAAACCCTTTGATCTTTTTGGTGATGAAGTGCACAAAAAAAACCCTTAAAGCTGAAATCAACAATGTCCTCCTTAGGAATAAACTGAATATCCCGAAACACTCAATGCAAAGTTACAGAAACCCAAAATGTATTCTAACTATGCAGTCACTATAAATACATATTTTAACTGAATGCATGCTTTTTAATTACTCTGTAAATTACCAAAAAAGAAAATTAAGATTCTCTTTAAAAGAAAAACTAAATAAATAAACAAACTCAGACTTCAAATAATAAACTGAACCAGCCAGTAACACTTTAAAATACAAAAGTGTCTTTCCCTTTCTCCTTTAGATTAACCCAGCATTATAATACTCTGAGGACAACAAACAAAAATATACCAAACTACCGTTTCATTCTGAAAACTCAAGTTTCATTCTGAAAGCAAAGTTTTGCATTAATTTGGGCATTTAAAATTTTCTAGTTTAATATAAAGCTGCACGTGAGGCTCCCTCAGGTATAAATAAAATAAGCCTCTGCAGTAAAATCAAAAAGAGAAACCATACATGCAATTTATTCTAAAAAAAATGTGATTTTAACTTTCACTTTTAAAACCTGTTAAGTATAACAGTGCGTTAGGAACAATCAAGCTCACTAGAGCGACAATTTGCTTGCAAATGCCAGAAAGCATGATCATTTAATGTTAGAATTCTGAGCAATACCTTGAAGATGTCATTTCATAGTATTTTACAAAATAATATTCTAAACCTGAACACACTGCATCATACAACACTCATAAGCAGGGAATCACGGAGTGAAGTGGACCCCTCAAAAATGCTGTTTCTGGAGGTGTAAAGGACTCATTCCACACTAACCCCTTCAGCAAGGCTAGGCCATTATGCTCTGTGCAAGAACAATTGCCATATTTTGATCAGAGTGTGGGCCAAAGGCCTGTGTATCTAACTCTCACCTTTGCAGACATGCCAGTGTTTCTCTCACATACCACAAAGGGAGGGCTGAGCACCAAGTGATAGAAATAACCACTTAAAATGACTCTTTGCCTTGATTTAAATTTGTTTGTACAGCTGATAGAAAAAGACCAGATTCCACAACACAGAAATGCAGGGCAAATTGATGCAGATGTCCTTTATCTGCTGGGATGAGTGCCCTGGACTACCTGCACGCCGCAGATCCGCAGTGAGCCTCTGAACCTCTTCTGTTGGATCTATCCCACTCTACCTCAGCATTCACTCACTGGGAGAGGCTGCAGCCACACAGTTCAGTGATCCTGTGCACTCATCCGGGATGAATCAGACATGAGCCCTAATTGCCATAAATATTCACAAAGGCAAGGATCATTCTTCCCCATTTGTGGAGGAGAAAGTGAGGCACAAAGTGATTACTGCAGGTCAGTGACATAGCTGGACAGAAAGCCCAGTTAGCCCCACACTTGCTACCAGGTGCTTTAAAATTGGCAAAAGCCACTTTACTATTTAACACGAACAATTTACTAAACATGTTACTTTTGTTTCTGTGCTTAGTGAGGTCAAAAATTTCTTTCTTAGTCTTCCCTTTCTAAAACAGCCCACACAACACCAGGAATAAAATTTCAGGAAATTTAGTCAAATCTGCCAGCAGATTTATCCTACTCTTGATATTCACCGTAAGGTCTAGGATACAGGGTCAGCCTGTTAATCACCAAATGAGGACTCCGTGATTGCCCCTGCACCCTTCTCACTCCACCCAAATAATTTCATGGCTCAACAGGAGAATTAAAATGGGAAAAAAAATAGTAAGACTTGACTTAGAAGAAAATTAAGGTTTCCATAAAACACAGACTTATTGCATGATTGCTGAAGGCAACAACTTTGCACAAAGACCTGGAAATTAAAGCTGTCCTTTTACTAAGCTTCCAGAGATTGCTTACACAATGTGTGGCAATGGGAGAGCACACAGAAGACAGTTAATTTCTTCTTTCTTCTTCACTTGCTCAAGCTGTCAAAAAGCTACTTGCCTACTATGAGAAGGGCGAAGAGAGTAACTTCCGATTCTCTCAAACCACACTGCTACAGCTTAAGGTGTGAACATTTTGCCACCTGACTGCTAAACTAGAATTTTCTTGATTTCTAAGTGTAAGTACATCATCAGATACACATCAGCTGCAGGTGGCAAGTTTAGAGAACTTGAAATCACATTTTCTTTCTAGCTGCTGCGGTAACCGTTGGTGAGCTCTCACTGTGCTGTCTCCACTCATTTCAGCTATGAGAAGGCAATCCAGTGTTTAAGCTCTTCCATACGCCGCAATATCTGGGTATAATAGAAATCCATGTTGGCTGCAAACTCAGTACACACAGGGGATTCCATGTCACCAAAGGTGCAGTACAATGCTGTTCCTCCAATGCTAAGGAAAACAGTTGCTATGCACAGCAGGATCAGCAAAACACAGGAGCCACCAGCTACTTCATCTGTAAATATAAGAGAAGAAAAGGTAGAAAAGGATGATATACAAAGGAATATGAATATGTGTGAGAAAATATGAGATAGGTTTTTACCATGAATGGGTCAGTAGGTAAACACATTTAATAATGCCTACCATGTCAAAGTGACCATAATACATAGCAGGATCTGTAAGTTTCTTTGCCCAGTCTTTTCAGAAACATAAATAATTATATCGCTTCATTTCTGCAACCTATCCACCCCTCTTTGCTGACATCACTTGTGGAGTCATTCCACACTGAAGCAAAATACACTGAACTGTCAGGAGGTTGCACAACTAAAGCCTTCCTCCATGGAAATAGCTGAAATGAAATGAAAACTTTGAAACTAAAGGAAATGGAAACATTCTTGCTTCATTTGTACTGAAACTGACTGAGCTACCATGAACTGTTCATTTACTCTGATATTGTGACTGTAAGGACAGAGACAAAACCTTCAAAGCTAGGCTATGTGAAGGATTATTTTACATCTCAGTTATTCTGTGGTAACTCTTTGTAACTGTTTATTCCATAGTAAGAGCAATAAGGAGGCTGCAGAACTGCTGCTACATCCTCACAACCTTGCTTGTCCTTGGTAACTTGAATGCATGAACAATACCTGCATCTTCTGTTAGACTGAAGAAGCTCTAAAAAAATGTCTACACTCCCTTCACTCTACATTAGGGAGAAGAAACGGGAAAAGAAGAAAGAGGAAACATTCAAGCACATTTTGTGTTTGAAATCAGATTTAGAATAATAATAATAAAAAACACTTCTGAATCACTAAATCCCTGGAAAAAATTAATGGAAGAAACTCTAATTGAAATTTTATTTAAAACATAAATTGTTTTAAAAGAATTTCAAGAAAAAGCTGATTGATGATTTCAAGAAAAAGCTCCATTTTGGGCACTGAATGGATTTTCTTTTTAGTGTATAAGACACACCTAATACAGTTTCAAGCATAAAGACCTCCATTAACACTATTTAGTGGCTGGCACACACAGTAGATACAGAAAATACTTTCATTAGTAAGCAAAAGTATTTTTCTTAACATCTCTAGTTTGAATAATAGACTTTACACTCCAAGAAAAGAACAATAAAATAATATACTGTATTTCTTATGAGGCTATTTAGCCCATTAAAAAAGCAGTATGGTGTTCAGCCACATTTAATGACAGCTAGCAAATACACGTGGATTTTTAATTATAAAGCAAGGTTAGAATCTGACACCCTCCAATCCCATGTTCTACTAGAAAGAGTAGAAAAGCTACCTGCAGACAAAGCACAAAAGAATTGTTTCTCTAACATCTTTCTGTACCTACATAGATTAGCTTTAGGGAGAAGGCCTACACCTCCCACCTCTAAACTCCAGACATTAATGAATGGAGGTCCATTTGATGTCACTTGCAAATCATTCAGCCAGACAAAAAACCCTGTGGTTTCAGTCTCAACCAAGCTTTAAAACTGAAATGTACTTGGTGTATCCTTCTGTAGCCTTGTTACCCAAACCTGGTATAGAATAATCTTCAAGCAATCACCTTCACTTGCTACTTGATTAAGCTGTAAAGAGCTGAGACAGTATGTACGTAGATGAATGCCACTTTACTCTTGTGAACAAAACCATTAATGTCATTTGCACCCCAAGAGTGCAACCCATCAATTAACAGCTTTAAGTTACCTTGATCCAGCGTGTCTTCCATTTCTTGGAATCGCACTCTTCTTTTTGTTGGCCTTTGCTGGACTTGAGCAATTGTTTTTCCTTCCCTGTCATCTCTCTTCTTTAGTATAGACACCAATCCTTCCGCTGGGGCAGTCTGTCAGGAAAGACAGTGAGGGGCACAAGAGCTGTGTGAAATCCAAGCATGAGATCTATATAAGAAGGACTTTAAGGGGGAGATGAGCTAAACAGTTCAAAAATGGTTTCCACTCTGCTTTCCTTAAACATTGCAAAACTCAGGAAACATCCTTCTTGATGACATCGATTCCTTAACATGCAGGACAGCTGCGGTATCATCCTGCTTACTGCTGACTAAACGTGCCCTTAACTGCTATGGAAGTTAAATACACGTGCATTTACTGTTTGGATCACACTTTGTATTCACTGCAAGAGTTCCTTTGTAAGCTCATGTTATTAAATCACGGGGATTGGAGCAGTGGTGAGGAGGGTTCACATCAAAACCACCATCATCAGAGGGCAGTAAGAAACCGATGACACACTGCTGCTGCCTCTTCAAAGATATAATTCTGCAGAGACTATCAAATGCTTATTGTGAGGTTCATTTTCCAGCACTGAATTGGTTTCCCAAGGTGGACAACAAGCTACAGTGGGGCCACAAACCCAAAAAGAGGTAACACGGGGGGAGGGCGGAGTTCCAATGCTCTGGATAGTTTCCAGGTCCACAATGGAATAACCTCTCTGGATACAGCAGCAGTTCAAAAATCCTTCCCTAGAGGCTGGTCACCCAAAGAGCTCACACAAACAGCGATACAGTCAACAAGTCAATAGACTGTAATGTCTCTTTCTTCTGCCACAACATTTGGCTTAGCTGCAAAGAGTATATACTAAGCCATCCTAGGATGTTACAGCAGCCTAAGCAGTCTGCAATTTCCTAGTTATTAGAGAAATTAAAGTAGGGGAAGCATCATGAGAAAAATGGTTTCTTAAGCAGGCAGTTCCCAGTGTGCTAGAAATAAACTAAACCTGGAAGCATTTTTGGATACGGCCTTTTTAATCTTGAGATCATCTACACCTGAAAAAAGGTCACCTCTTCATAAATCTGAGTAGCATTTTCTAAAACTTATTTTGTAGATCAGAAATAACATTTATTACTTTGAAAAGTAATCTGTATACATTTGTGCTAGAGAGGAAAACATATGTTTGAAGCTGAGGTTGTAACTCATCTACGTAGGAGGTGACTCCAAACTTGTATAATTTTCACAAAAACTCAGTGGGAAAAAAAAAAAGCTTCCCTGATAGCATTGTAGTTGCAGACAACTGACTGCTTAACTCAGAAAACCGTGGATAAACAATCGTTTGCACTGCAATTATAAGAGCCGTAGAAAAATAGAAAACAAGTGACTTCATATGTTATGCCCCTAAACTTGCTTCATGCTACAAGCTTATATAATGCCTGGATGCATGCTGAACTGGGAGAGACAGTGCACAGAGCACAGTGAAACGTGGAGCACAATCCAATAGGCACCGTACCAGCTCCGGCAGCTGGCGTCCGCAACGCTTTAACTGCTAAATGGGCCAATTCCATGTGCAGGTCTCTAGTCTGGCAGGATCTTACAGACCTCAGCTGGACAAGGAATATCACCCTGAACACCTCACAGGGTTGGTCACTGTGGGTGTATGCCTACGCTCTAGCAACTTTTCCTGAAAATCACATCTGCGAAGGTAAAAACGATCCCTGCACTTCCCCTTTTGGTACTCGCTTTCCCTTCTGATTATCTGCTCAGGAGCTCCAATGGATTATTTAATGAAACAATGCAATGAAGTACTTAGAAAGCAGTGACAGTGTGGAGGTGGTGGAAATAAGCGCTGAAGTCAACACACGGAGGACCACTATTTGGCACAAATGAACTAGAAATAATAGCTCAAAGTGTCTCATCACAACAAACAAGTGTACTGGGGTAAAGCTTCTACTGATAATGTTAAATTAGCCTTGCAGAACTGCCATGAAAATTTATCAGGCCAGACAGAAAATCAACATTTACGCTTCTTTGTTGTGAGAAGAAAGGGGGTATTGTGTAGGAGGACATTAATTTGACTTTTTATTTGGGAGGGCGGAGATGAAATTATGACCTTTTAAGAGTAGATTATTTTAAGCTTCTGTGTGTGGCATTGCTTTCATAAAGAGGATCAATGGCTTCTCCTGCACCACCCACGCAGCAGGGTAGCTGTCACCTGGCACACACGATCCTAGTGGCTCTGACTGCACTCAGTGGGAATGTCACCCAGGGATGGCGGGGCACTGGTACCAGTCTGCCCTAAAATCAGCATGTGGTTGTCTCTTCTGCAAGTAGCCATTTCAAACTGACACGCTTCATTTTGTCTGGTGGCTCTTGGTAGTTTTCGAATGACTGTGTCACAAGCTCTGTCTTCTCCAAGCTTAAACACAGAGGGCTATCTCTGACAGGATTATGTGGAAATGTGTGTTTCAGTGATTACAGTTACATAAAAGGCTTGCAAAGGAAACTCTTGCTACAATGAGGTTCATTCACTTTCCCCGTCAGCCTACATGGCTGTGTTTCAAGATTTACTTCTAAACGTATAAAGACCTAGTTGACAAAGCATGGGTTTCTATTCTGAACATCTTCTTTTGCTTAAAAGGGGGGAGCAAGGACCTTTGATTTTGCAATAAAATCTGTGTGGGTAGTGCTACTCTCCTGTCCCAACAAAACCTATAGACAGTATTTTTAAGAACATCCCCTTTACATGGTATGTAATTAGTACCTAGAATATTTCGTCTGCCTTGGAATTTCACTACCCAAGCAGCTACGGGTTTTGTTTTGTTCTGCAAAGGACCTACAAAGCTATGGCCCCTAGCCAGCATACAGTTTGTTGTAACATGCAAATACAAACATGGAATTCTGCAGAAAGCTGTATTTATGCCTTTTCTACCATATTCTCAACTGCTCCTCAAAAATATTTAATGCAAGCATCACATTTTATTTTTCTTATTTTCAGTCATAAAAAATTATTACTGCAAGACTGTCATGTAAGAATAGGATTTGTCTTGCTACAAATAAGATCTCATTCAGTTACAACAAGAGTAAATGTGTTTTTTTCTACCACATTTTTGTTTAGAAAGATTCCAAAACAATATACAAATGCATTATATTAGGTCCATCAACCATTAAACATCCAAGGAGAGAGACTTAGCTGCCATGCAAGACTTTAAGTTTTCCATCCCAGTCTTTAGGAGGTAGGAGGAAGTAAAAAAGGCAGAATACACTATTTAAATTGAAAGTTAATGAGGGAACTGTGGTTAATACAGTCGACCACAAGTCAAGCCTCTGCTTGACTTGAACCACAGGAGAAAAAATGTAGGCTTGTGCCAGGCTGCACTGCAAACAGTTCTGTTACATAAAAGAACCTACCAAAACATAAAACATTTCCTTAATTCTACGTTAGGTAATTAACAAAAGATGCTTTTGGAGCATTTGTGTAACTGAGCTTACTTGGGAGCATCTGTCTAACTGAGCTTGCTCACTTAGCTCTGCTGGCCTTCATAAAATCCTTTGACTGGAGCTTTTATAATTACTGTACAGAAACTGAAAATGTCATACAGGTATGTGGTGGCATTTTGATCAACAGTCAGAAAGGAAAGCAGGAATTACTGTTAACTGAAAATCTTAAGTATTTTAGCTTTTTTCTTTTTATCACTATCAACACAAAGTGATTCACTTTGCAGAAAAGTTTAAAACTTTTTTGGTTAAAGTTTAATATCCTGGCTGCAATATAAAAATTAAAAAAAAAACAAACCTCTATTTAAACTACCTGTCTCTTTGTTTAAAACAGGATTTGCTAATAAAATACTGAAATTTCTTACATTATGCATATTTTTGCCAAATATGATGTATATATATTTACAAACAGACAAAACTATGAAAATAAGGTCTTGTACTTCAGGCTCTTAGAGAAAAGAGATTAAACTCGACTACTGGAATCATTTGTAGCATATGAAAGTAAATGAAGCCCCCAACACTGGAGGCACTGCAAACTGGAATCTAGCAAGGAAAGTTCATTGTGTGAAGTATTTTCTCTGAATGCAGAGAACTACTCAGGGAGTTTTGTTTGTGTATTCTTCTGTGGGCTGTACTCCTTATTCTGTTACTTGGCAAAGGCCAACAGTTTTATTTCTAGCAACACCAGATTTTTTTAAAGCAGTAATCCATAACTGTACGACAGTCTGCCAAAAAGCAAGAGTGCTCTGGGTTAAGCTGTAAGCAGCAGACAAACCCCTTCACTAATAAAATACATTAGATACATGAATACTTTGACTTTGAAAAGGAACTGCCTCAGCAGATTCAGCATGCCTAGCACAGACTCTAACCATGTTTCTGCTGATACCCTTGCCATGCAGGCACTGGGGCTCCTTCATACAGCAGTAAATGGCTCAGATACTGCGTAAGCATTTCATACGGAAGCCTAATTCTTGCAAACCCAAAACTACAGGACCCAGGCCATACAAGACACCAGAGGATCTCCACAAGGCATTGTCTCCAGACCTAGTACAGATAGGTGGAGACTTAACTCCTGCAAGCAAATCAGCTGCTAGTCAGTACGTGCTCAGTACTTCTTAAAAAAGGCTTGGTGTCAAACAGTGCCAACCAAAAGCTGCTACTGTTTGTTGTGGTAGAGAGTGTCTATCTTTGCTTTCTGAAAGAAATTTCAAATTGTAATTTTTGCATAAGGAAAACCAGTAAGGTTTTCCTTGCTTCCCTAATTGTCCCTATAATAGAAAACTCATATTATAAACTTTTATTTCACATGACAAAATGCAACTTACTGAGATCACAATTAGTTTGACTGCTGGTGTGCTACTTCATTCTCATAGAAATGACAGCAAAGAGATCTCAGAAGAGGTTACACACTTCTGATCTGCCACTGCCAACTGTCCTTCCAAGCTCTTTGTTAGCTGTTTGAATCTAGTTTCTATAAAACAACAGTAGTTTTCCATCATCTGCCTGTTACGCACAGTTTGTACTAGGGATGAAATATCCAGTTTCAGAGACTGTACAATATGTAAAGTACTATTTTAGTTTTGCAATTTTTTAAAGCCAGAGTCAGAATTTAGTGGATTTTCAGTCTTGTAATTAGTCACTGTAAATCGCAGATTAAAAGCAAGTGACATAAAGGATCTAAATTAGAGAACTACATGAGATGATTCTTTGTTCTCAATATGGGGTCAAACAAAATTTCCTAACTGTAACTACATACACAAGTACTTATCCTTTCCCCATTATAAATAAACTAGTATTACACCTCCATTGAAGAATATTGGTGAAATTTTGCCCTACCATATGATTTTTGTACCAAGGTTATTTAAAAATGATCTTTACTTCTGCCTTCCTTTCCAGTCTATTTGTGGCAATTTAGTTAATACTCCATGACAAGTTTTACCGCAGTCAAATTGATTTATATATTTCTTTTAATTTAATTTTTGTTCTGTTTTATTGTCACACTGGTACATTTAATGTAGTTATCTTAATTTCATTCATGTGGCTACCTATGCCTTTTCTAGGTATTTCTTTCACAACTACTATATGAAACCATTATCATGTTATTAGATGGCCACACCCTCAACAATGCAACTTCAAAGGCTTCAGGAACAAGAAGGGAAGAAATATTACTGCTGGGTGCAAAGATCAATCTGCTTGTCAAAACACCAGTTGAATCTTATATTAGCACTAAAACAAAATCAGTGAAATTAAGTTAACAGTGCTGCTTTCTTTGTGCTGACAAACTCTCAATTGCTGGTGTCTTCCAGGGAAGCTGTAGGTGCTCACCACTTCTGAAAAGCATCCACTTAGGGTAATGACAGGTGTCAAGATTCAGAGGAAAAACAAAATTCAGGTGTGTAATGGAGCAAATACAAGAGGCTGTGCTGTCCTTAACTCACCCTGCTGCACCTTGATATTTCAGGTATTGCAAAATAGCCCCAGATGCTGCATATTATACATTTTAATCAGTCTTGAGATTAATCCTTCTTCTGTTCTCCATGATTTAAATGCCCTGCCTCACACACAACTCAGGCCTCTTGCTAAGAATGATTCAAAAAGCCTCCCACCAGTGCCAGCCAACATTAAGCCTTATATGGCCAGAAAAAGTACTATGGAAAGACTCAAGGTACTGTCTCCTCTCCAGAGACTCAACTAGCCATTAGAGTACTGGCAGTCCTAGTACCAGGATAGCAAACTAGAAATTAGATTCCCTGTACAGCATCATCTTTAGTCACTGGGCCAATCAATACAAGCATAATTTGTCTAACAGCATCAATATGCTGCTTCCTATCCCATTGCCTACAACACAAAAGGCACAAACATAGCAATTTAAAGAGTTGCTATAGGATCAGGTTAGGATTTTTCTATGTGAAAAGCAGTTCTGTAGCTTAAAATGCTGAACTTTCAGTGGGCTCAGAATAAACCTGATCCTGATGGGGTGATACTGAAATGACTCCTCTGTTATGCATGTATAGAGGCTTAGCATTGATTGCCAAGAAAATGCTATTTTTCAAAGCCACCCTCTACATGAACACAAGCCAATGGATTTAGTGCAGAACTTTGACTGCGTGTACGAACATGTATGTGGGTTCCCACATCTGTGTGTTGTCAAGAACTTTGTGTACAGTTTTGTGTACATGGCCCTCAGTCCTAGTATGTGGTACACTTCCTGACATCCCGCAGAAAGACAAGCTGTTTTATGGGCAGGGCAGGATGAAGGATCTTGGAAAGGACATAAGAGGCTCTTTAGGTGGGGAGAAAACCCAAACTGCTCTGTTTCCATCTCTGGAGATTTTCCCAAACGTGTAATAACATCAGCATGAATTCTCAGTATTTAGTTCCCTGCTTGGCTGCTGTCCTAGAACGATCGTGGGTTCTTGGTCTCTGTGCATTAGCTTCTGATCTATAGAGAAGTACTGTTACTTTATTGCCAAGGGATGTGTTGTGTCATTAAATGCATTAAAAATAGAGATGAACTAAGAAGATACCTTTTATAAAGCAAATATGTCACCATATGCTCCCTAAAAAGTTTCAGAGCAAAAAATACATATTTTCTGGAGAGCAGTTTAGCTTACAAAACACTCTTTTCTCGTGGCCTATCAGCAGTGCTTCAGAAAGGCAGGTTTAGGCTTAGGTCTGTCTTAGAAGAACAAAACTGCCTAAAGTTGGTAAAACCAGCAGCTCATACACTCATATGCAGAGTTTATTACAGATGTAGTTCTCACCTATATGGAATAGGCACAGAAAAAGCAAATTTTATTCTGTGAATAGAAATTAACTACATGTTCAACATCATAGACATTGTGTAGATTTCTGACATGAAACTGTGATTTAACAGGAATTCTCAGGCCATCTCCTAACAGTCTCTAAAGAATAAAAAAAAGTGTTCACACTCATGTGCAAAAACAAATCTAATCTTTAGAAACAGAGCACTGTTGGTTAAGGAGGCAAACAGGCAAAAGAAACTTTTTTCTGAATTAATTCATAATAATTAAGTATAGAACTCAGATTAAAAAGTGATATATGAAAGAATATTTAACACATTTTGAAGTTTACATTATTTAAAATATTTTAGTTGAGATAAAAACGGAAGATTTTCTAGGATTCACAGTATTTACCTCAGCAATCTCTATCCTTCTTGCAAGTTCATCAAGAGAAGAAAAGCTGTCATCTAGTGATAAAGCTTCCAGTGAGTTGCAAGATGCTCGTTCAGGTGAAATATCTGGAACTGTGTCAAAGTCCTCTTGGTTTGCTAAGTTTGCAAATGATTCCTCAGTGTCTATTATGTTACCCTTTAGAAATCTGAGAAATAGATCTTCTTGTTCTTCGTTATTTACTTTCTCCTCCTGTCCTGCTGTTCTCTGTACTTCCTTGCATACTTGTGAGTGGGCAGGACTCTCATTCTCAGATGCTTTATTATATCCAGAGCATACATCTGATGCAGTTCTGTCCTGTGAAGATTTTTCATCATCATCAGGCTGTTCCTGTTGCTGCTTTAAATCACTATTTCCAAGCTGCCCACTAGCAGTTTCTGAAGAGCCAGCACCAGGTTTTGATCTGAGCAGATTTCTATCAGCTTGTATATCTTTATCAGTAGGCATATAATCAGCATCTGTTAAACCCAAAGCATCTACCATTGGCTCCAGAGGGAGTTTCACTCCAGGCTCCCCAGTTGTGCTTTCTATTTTTCCTGCATCCTTAGAGAGCTGCCCTTCTCTCAGCTGCAAACTGTTATCTCTGCCGGCATCCCCAGATGATAAGCGGCCCAAAGAAGGCCTGCCCACTGTCCCCGTGGACTGGGTGTGTGGCTCCAATGTTGTTTCAGCACTGCAGTGCTGCTCCTCCATGTGGTCCTTTCCTGCAGCTACCCGAAGGCTCGCTGCCTCCGTCTGTCTCTCCGTTTTGTTTTCCCTGGGAGAACTACTGCTCAGCTGTTTATCTTCTGCCTTTGGTCCAGCGCCAGGACAAGTTTCAGTACCTAAGTGCAACAGGAAAAACGGTTCCAGTGTTTTTAAATGATTCAAAGCATCAGCCCAGGGAGGAAAGAGTATACTGTGATTTGATAACGTTGTAACCTAATGCTTTAAAATGTGCTCCCATAAAGGGCAGGTACTTTATGCTCCAGTCAGACTAAAAGTTTTGTTAGTAGTCTGAAGGGCTGACTCCTGACTGAGCAAAATATTTGCACACATTCTTGGAGGCAAAACACGTTTTCTCTAGTGCCCCTCTGAAAAGAGTTACTTCCATACTTCCAGCACATGATATATGTAAGTATCTTTCTGAACAGCCACGTTTCTTCTAAAAGCATATTTTATGTGAGTGCATCTCATGGAGGCCTGGAGTTCAGACAAATACTTGTTTTCTGTAATTAAGTGCATTTTCATGCTAGTGTATCTATCACACAGGGAGATCTCTGCATTTCCTTTAAAGAAGCTGAAGTCATACCAATTTAATGAATTTTCAATTGAATTATTTTAAGTGGGCAACTAATTCCTTTGTGCAACACTAAATTAAATATCCAATCACAATACTTTACATAATGGACTACATAAAGACGTTTTTTGGATACATAAGTTAGCTTACATATTAAAAAATGGAATTGGATGCAGCTTATTTCTGCAGTCACATTTACAATACAACTGAAAATTCATTTTTCATATCTAACTTTCAGAGAGAAACAAGGGGAATTCTACATTGCTTGTGAATTCACTTACTGTTGGTATGATTTGCTGGTGGAGGAGTGGATAGTTAGCCCATGTTGTTAATATAAGTATTAGACATTATGAGATGCTGAAAGCTGAATCTCCCCTTTTAGGCTTACCAGGTCAGAAAGGGTGTGTTTAGAATTAGAATACCAAAGCAACCCAGCTATGACAGAAATGGTCTTTTATTCCATACTTTAATCGATTAAACTAATTTAAGACTGTTATAGGAAGACCACTGTTACACAGTAATAGGAATAACCTCAAACAACAAATTCCTCTCCAGAAAACACACATTTGTATTTTTTTGTCAAAAGCAGAAAGTTCTTATGAATAGATTAACAAGAGATCAAACAATGCCCATATTTACTGTATCTGAGCAATGTCAACATATTAAAGGAGTCACATTTATTAGTCTTTAAAATAAATGTTTGCATTAATTCATTGTATTGAACGATTTTATTAAATTCTAAACTATCCCCATTTTAAAGGATAATGAAATATAGGGTAGCATAGAAAAGACAGGCTTGGAAATTGAAAAAGAGAATATCCAACCATCTCAAAATGCAGAAAAAACCAATCAGAACAACATTAATAAATGGAAAGGGTACAGTGAACCTAACTTCTGTAAAACCCTGAAAGAAGAAATGTGTATGAGACAGGGACTTTTTGAAAATTAGACACAGATGAGTAGATAGCTCAAGGGATTTGTAACAGGATACTGAGCCCTTCACATATAGGTCACGAGTTCAAACACAGCCTGGATTATTGGTACAAGATTTTGTTACCATCTGTCAATTTTGCCTAGTGGATACATCCACATTAGAACAGGCATGTTTGTTAGCAGCCCCAACTGCAACAAAGATTAAATGGAATCGGACATTAAATCAAATTCTTTACCATAAAAGGTGGTCCTGGAGCTCAGGGCTCTGCTCCTAAGAAAGTAATAAATGATCCCAGCACTGATATCTAACTGCAGACGTACAGGAACTGAGATGTAATGATCATTGTTACATTCCACATCAAATTTTCAGCAGCTTTCAGTATTTGCCTTACACACCCGCTTTAGACAACCCATGTCCACTACAGACTCAAGGCAAGAAAAATACCTGAACACTAAATTAGAAAAGATGCTTTTTCCTACTAAGTTAAATGAAGACGTACCCACCAATGCAGCAGTAATTTTAATCTTTATTAATTATTATTTAGGAATTTTATGGCAATTTAAGAAACGTTTTCTTCCCAAACAGAGTTACTTTAAAATCGAAACCTGCTTTGTTCATCACATAAACCTGTAGCCACCACTTTTTTATCCTGTTAATCCAAGGCAGCCTAGCAAACAGAGCACTGACCTAGGGCATTCTACCAGTGGAGAATTCACACTTCTCCATCTTTGTCTTTAAATGGGAGGAGTTCCCATTAAAAAAAAAAAAAAAAAAAAATCTCATATGACCCAAGGAAAACAGGGTATAAGTAGTTTCTGCCCAACTTGGAAACAGGTCTACATGTACACACTGCAAACTTGCGCTAAGGTTTTTATTAAATTCATCATTTAATTAGAAGAGATTTTCTGAAACACATCAATTTTATTATCTTTAGGTAACACTAAGGCTATTAAGGCTTTCAGTCAGAAACTGAAGAAATTATTGGTATATAGTATGTACCAAATCGCATGTTTTAATATATGTGTGCCTTAAAGTGCACACAGCTTTAAGGGCCCAGTTCACTCTGTTGGTAGACTCAGAAAGGAAAACGTAACAGAACAGACCACTCATAGCTCTTGCTTAGAAAGGCAGAAAACTAATTTGGTGACTTTCCTAGGAATCTTGACTAGCTAACTTCTTATAAAGCTATTTCTTGCTCACTCTCTTTCCAGGAGAGAGGAATCATTAATTGTTAGGATCAGCTGCCTACAGATGCTTAAACTATGTTCCCAAATGCCTGGCATAAGTTAGTGAAGCAATTTTTGCTCTAGATTAGTAAGGAAGTGTGATTTTACTTCAAAGATGCTGCCATAGTACAACACAACGTCTACAATGTAATACATAGATTTCTACATATAAACTAATACTTCTTATTGATAATTGTAAGACAAATTCTTATTTTGGGCATATGAATTCCTATGAAGGACAGTCTTCACACTACTGGAAAATTTCCTTATCCTGGCATACTCTAAGTCAGACTTCTGCTACTAGCAGCCAAGTGAGTTAAGTAGTTTTCCCTGCAGATTGGCAGACACTTGCCTAAGAGAAGAAGCAAGGTTTACACATTTACTTCTTTAATTTTGTTATGTAGAGAAAAAAAACAAACAAACAAACAAACACGGAAAAAGCAGAAGATAAGCATTTTAAGTTTTCAGTGAGAAGGCCCATCCATTTAGTCTAATGCTGAACAGGTAAGGTTAAGTATTAGGAACCGTACAGTTATTGCAGCACAGGATTCTGCTGGGGTTCCAGCAAAACCAAGAACCAGCCCCAAATGGCCATACTGCTTCTAGCCCTGGGCTGGATCACTTGGCCACAGCTCAAGTATTTTTTTGCACAGCACTGAGCAGTGTATACAAATTCAGAGTTAAGGGTCATCTTTGTCCAGCCTCTGTGTTAGTTCTTACCAACATCTTCCCTGCCCACGCCCTTCTAGCTGCAACACTCTGCCCCGTGCTGCTGACACTGAGTCAGTGTGGGGCAGCAGTAGCTGCCTGAGCACACACCACCTTAACAGGCAAAGAGAAGTCATTGCTTCCCCAAGAATGTGCTGATTTTGTGAAAAGCATCTTTTGCAAATCTTAAGCATTTAAACTTGAGTTAAGCATAAAATACTCCTATCTTTGTATTGAAAAAGTATTTAGCATTGCTGGAAAATTCTCAGCAGAACCACTTTCTGCTGGATGACATAGCTTTATTAACTAACAGACATTTCACAGGAACCCAAAGATTTTGATAACATTTTGACAAGAGTTACCTTAAGAAAAAGGTGTGAAAAAAAATCAATTTACATCATTAATTACCTCCGCATGAATTTTATTATGTCTAGATGCTGTACTACAGTATTTTAACATTGATATAAAGTGCTCCTTAATTCAGAAGTTTCAAATGTTCGGAAATTCTGCTCTCCAGAAAGCTTTTCTTCTAACTCAGAATAAAAACAATGAAAAAATTTTAAGTGCCTCATTTTTTTCCATGGGAATTTCCAGCCATCTGAAAATAAAAAGCTCTAGGTTCTTTTGATCTGCCTTCTGAGCTATAGAACATGTTTGTTTTGTGTTTTCAATGTTTTGTGTTTAGTTAGGTTACAAGAATAAAGACAGAGAAAAGGCAGTATAGGGGTCATGGTAGAAGAGGATGAAGATAAGGAGATCCACACATGTAGAGAACTGTGACTCTTGTCTTACACACACTTGTAGGATAGCTTAGGTTGAAAGGGACCTTCTGAGGTCACTTAAATCAACCCTCTTTTGTTCAGAAATTCTGGCTGGTTTTAAGGAAGGGTACTCAGATTGGGTAAATTTTGGCAACTGGAATGTGGCAAAAGAAGAAATTTAACGCTCGAAGAGAGGAGAGGAGAGGAGAGGAAGAATAGCCTGATAGTATTTGGGTGCTCTTTCCCCCTCTGCCTTCATTTTAACAATTCATTAATTTGTAAAGGTTTCATAAGAACCAAATGATTCTAACAAATTACTCAAACAAAACAGCCAATGCCCCAATGCAGGAGGAGGAAAATGAAGCTGATGTAAAAGCGTGTACTGAAAAACATTAACTGAAGTTATGTTTCTATCTTCAAGACTGTTTTTTCAAGCTTCCTAATTTTCTGTGCTGTTACAGAAAATTGTCTCAAAATAAGTTTATTGGGTGTAATTTAAAATAGTTACCGATAGTGTTAACTGTGCTCAGTTGCCACAACTCAGAGTATCTGTCATCAGATTGTTTACCTTGTATTTTATACACACTAATTATGTATCTTACCTCTAGTTTTACACAATTTTGTAGCCTATGTAGGCTGCTGCAAATGCATGTGCATTTAAAAGATCTTTTTGATGGAGGCTACCATTACTTTAATTACAATTTTGAATATCAATGACTAATTCAAATTGCATAGTAAGTCCACTGTGCAGTTGTGAAAAAAGTAAAATTTGCACAAATGGGAATCCAACAAATGCTGTAGCTTCAAAAGAAATAGCTTCATAGCATTTCTAAGAAAATGTCATTACAGTACAATATTTAAAACAAACATATGAATGTTACCTACTCACACACATACCTGATTTAAAAGCAGCAGCTTCTCTTTCCTTGAAATTTTTTGATTCCATTACCTGAAGCAAATAACCGCTTTGCCATGTATTTTCTGCAGCTACTAGCTGTAAAATATGACAGTATTTCCTGTAATTTTTTGAGTTAAACAGGAACATTGTGACTTTTTAAGACATCCGAATTTCAAACAGTTTCCATACTAAACTGGAAAGATCATAGCTAATAATTTAAAAATGTATTTCTTAGCAAACCTTGACAAAGCAAAATTCAATCACACAGCTGCTTACCTTATTTTTGCATGCCTGTGGCCTGCAGAAATAAAGAGAAAAAGAATAAATTAAAAAAACTTAGTAGCAACATTCTTTATAACAAATGTCATTGAAATTTAATAAGCCTTTACTCTGCTCTAATATTAGCACAGAACTTTTCTTACATTGGAACAGCGTCAGCATGCTAGCATGCTTTCAGGCACAGCTCTGTACCATATGTGAGTATCATCAGAAGGACAGTTAGGCCAAACATTGCTCCACCTACTTGAGAAAGCAGTCCAAAGAAAATTTACTGCAACGTCAAGCAATCTAAGTTTCTGTAAAACTTTATGCTCAGAAGGAACTTTAACAACTTAAAAACTATGTAAGAACTCAATATCTACTAGTATTCAAAGTACTGATCACTGTAACAGAGATCGAGGAATGGAAAATAACCCACAAAACATATTTCTCTCTCCACAGACTGTTTACACTGGGATAGGTTCTCGGGGTGCTGTAAGCTACAGCAGCTCTCAGTGATTCCAGTGGGATCACAGCACCAGTAACAGACAGTGTGGACTTTGCAAACTGTGTGGAGATTCATGCACAGTGTCTTTTATCAAGCACCACCCATCTCGCAGCCTTTCATACAGCAATGAAGATAAAATGTTGAGCATTTTGTTTAAAGCTACTCAAAAAGAAAAAGGAGGAAAAGTACTGATGTTTGTACTCTCTAAACTTTTAAAAGTTGCACTCACTTTTAAATTTTACCATTTAAACTTCAAATAAGGGACACTCAAAACTATTTTTAAAGAACAAACATGGCTGGTGTGTAGCTGTAGACCAGGAGTATCAGAAAAAGTTACATTCCTTTGAATTACAAAAGCAAAATGTTCACATCTTCCAAGACCTGCATGTTATCCATTAGCAGCTTACAAAGAAATTGACATTAAAGCTTAGGAGAAAAACAATGTATAAAAGAAACTTATGGCAAACAAACAGAAGCCTTGATTTTTATCAAATTGCAAGGTAATTGATGTTGCATAGCTGAATTTTTTGTATTTTGAATTGAGGCTGCATGGTCGAATTAGAAGGAGAAAGTAGAGCTATTCTCAGTACAGTGACAATAGGGAGTGACAATTGAGGTGACAATAGGGAGGTGCTGCTAGCTGCAGCATATAAATCTCAATTCCAATATGCTTTGTAGGGGCTTCCTCCCACATGCATTCAGACTACAGACAATCCCTGCTGGGGGTCTGGTAGTGAGCCTAAGTGTTTTCAAACCTCTGTATGGTCACCCAGAAGAAAAAAAAATATGAATGCCAAATCATACTCTCCATGAATAACAGGAGCATTCTGGCTTTGCTATATCCAGACTGACCAAGCCAATGCAAACGTGTTTGAAAAAGGTCTCTCTCCCCATCTGATAAAGAGCATCTTCCCTGCCACAGGTTGGTCTTTTCCAGCCTTTGAATGTACGTGGTTTCCTTATTATCACTGGCTGATCATTTTTCAGTGGCAGCTGATACAACTTTTTTCTTCTGCCCCTTAAAATCTATGTCTAGTAGGTAGGACATTCATCCATGAAATAACAGATCTTCTCCTTTCTTGATGGGTACAATCTTGCATGTTTTATTACCTAGAAGAGTACCCTAGTCACTGTCCAAAACTGTATGTTATTGTGATGTACCGATTCAGCAGGCTGCTGAATCAGACAAAGTAGGTGTTAGTGAAGATTGGACAAATTTTAAGAATACTGCTGCACTAGGGAACTACAGAATCACTGCTTCATAATGTTTATGATAATGAAGAATGACTTAAAGCCTAAAATATGAAAAACTGAGGAATAAAATCCTAAAGGACTGATGTAGGTGGTGGAGTCTGAGACGCTGGGCAATTGCATTTAAAAACAATGATTAAAACAATAACTATTAGACACAAGTACCATCACCAGTTCTACAGGCTCTCTCTTCCAAAGTTCACACTATTACATTTTTACTTTGGCTGAAAATAGTAAAACTGAAACCTCACGTTCTGGCAAACTAAGAATTTGCTGAGAACAGGTCAGTTCTAGTCCCTGTACAAATGGATCGAAATGGAAACATTTTAGTTACGTATCAAAAGGAAACACCACTTGATAACCAAAGTCACTGAAGTCAATGAGATGCAACTTTTATTTTGACACTGCCTATTTTAAGACACCTATACTGGCAAGTAGACAACAGCTGTGCTCACATATTAGTACTGGCAAAGCAATAGTATTTTCTTAGACTTACTGTTGATGTGAAGAGCAAACTCTAGTAAGCTTTTCCAGCTCCTCACCACTCAGCTCTTTAGTGGAATTCCTCAGTGTTGTAACCGGACTAGGAACTGCTGTTTTCCATTTTCTTTCTAAATTAAATCAACATTATTTTTACTGAAAGGATTATCCAAGTAGTATTTGCTTAACATAAAACATAGGTGAATCTAATTAATGGAGAAATACTGACAACTCTTCCGTGCACCATCTGCAGTCTTGTTTCAGACTATGCAAAAAAACATTGTGTTTTTTCACAACACATTTTATTTTCATAACATCAGATTCACCAACCCTAAACCAAAAATAAGCTCAAAACAGCTATGGATCAAAGTCTCAATTAAATAGAATAAAGAATTACAAACTACTCCCCCTCCCTTTTTCACGAAATGTGTGAGAAGAAATCTCAAGCAGGAATACTTTTCCCCTAACAACCTGAAGTTCTGAGAAATGCTGATATAAATGCTGCTTTTGCTATGTAGCATTTTAAAGGTGGCAAAATGCATTACTTAGAAATACAAACTGAATTAAGTTTCTTCTACCATATTAGTTTAGCCTGTACTCACCCCACTGCTCCTGTATGGAAGAAAGATTTGCAAGCAGCTGCTCATGATACAGTCGTTCCAGCTGAATGAACTTCATTGCTTTCTCATCTGAATGGAAGGTTAAAGAAAAACGCACACGTATATGGACATGTTATGTTTTATTTAGATTTGACACCATATTTGAAAAGGCAATCCTTATGTACCTGAAACTTGACCTAATTACATCAAAATGAATAATGGCTAGCATCCAGATTTGAGCGAGAAAGACAACAACAGCAGACATGAGAAGAACAAGTAAGAAGGAAAAGAAGTTGAGAATAGTTCCAAAAATAAAAATTCTGTTCTCTTCAGCAATGACCTCTTCGTACATGCCTTAGGTCCAAGATAAGTTTTTCTAGAAAAGTAATGAGCAAAATTTTATTATGCTAACAAGTCTTATCAGAAAATGAAATCTCTGGAAAATTAAAAAACCCCAAACAATTATACAGATACTAGAATGTATCTCAAGAAATACAGTTATACAGCAACAACCCTAACTGGCTTCTGTCTACTGATCAGCTGGAGATAGTATTTAAAAAATTTCCCCAACTCAAATTTTAAAAAAAATTCCCTCCTGCGTTTCAACTGTTGCATACAGCTCTGTTGGACAGAGGAGTTCAAAAGTTCTTTAGTCTGCTTTCTGAAGATTCTTCTTACTTTTTTTTTGTATATGAAGAACTCTTTCCTCTCCTTTAGGGTCATCAATATATTCACAAAGGTATACTGACAGTTATATATTTTGTAATAGAATAATTCTAGTACCATCAAGCCCAAGGTAGTTGTTCTGTTTAAAGCCATGTTTTGCCAGCTAGTTGAAATTTAATTCTATAGGTCAATGGGGATATAAGTACAGTGAATGAGGTTCTTGGTAACAGAGAAAAAAAATATGTTCAATTTTTCATGCTAATTAGAATACTGGAGTAATTATTACGAAATTACAACCACTACTTGTTATTCTTGTAGCCTCATGCAACATATACATAGCATGGCTTATGACCAAGAATATTAACGGGAAGAATATTCCCTGCCTTCAAGAAGTCTGTTGTTAGAAACAGAATTACAGATCACAGAGATAGCCTAAGAGGATCACAGCAACAAACCCTGAATTATTCTTAATATGAAGTTGCACATTGGACAAATTAAAATGCTTGTCATGGATAATTAATACAGTGCAACATGATCAAGTAAGTTCTTTATTAACCTCAGGAAACTGATGGTTGCAAGTACAGAGGAGATATCCTTCATAAATATGTATTATATAGTGGTGTTGAATTCCACACATCAGGTGTACGTTGCATTAAAAATATTTCCTTTGATCAGCTTTAAATACAGTACCCTTCGATTACAGGAGTTTCTATGGAAAAGAAACTCTATCACACTCTTGAATGCATTTTAAATTTACTGTATTTCACGCTGTAGAGCCATAATTTACTACAGATTTTTTCCATGTCTTTGTGTTGTGTATTTTCAATTTTCTGATGGATCTTAGAACTAGGATGCCCAGGACAGAAGTATAGTGTTCTATGACAGTGATGGATATTTTATTTTATATATTTTATATATTGCTTCTATAATATTGCAACAGTTACTCCTCCTGCTTTGTACTACAGGCTACTATCATTTGGCTAGGTTTCAAGGATACCTTTCTGGGTTTGTTAAATACCACTACAACTGCTTATTTGCTGTATTTTGTTTGCAACAAATTACAGCATAAAGAAATAAACTGTATGCAAAAATTATGTAATTTATGATATATCTTAGTGAATCATCACAAATACCTTAAGGGCTTATCACTCTTGCCTCCTCTTTTTATAGCCTGATCATTTTCTCTTAAAAGTAAGCACAGGAAAAACCAGTTCAACTTTTCTAAAAAAGTATTTCACTTTAAGGTTTCACATGATTATTCTCTCCCACAATTACTTAAATATATCACAGTAACTAGCAGCAGTTCAACTATTATAACTGTTTGACCACACATACGTGTATTATCTAAGAGCAAATAAAAATAAACTAGATCATTGAATTAGCTGTTCCCAGAAGCCATTACCCAGATTTTCCTGCGACAGTTTCTCAGCTATCTTGATATGTTTTTGACTACCATTCGCCAAACAACTTGTTGCTATTGTTTGCAGGTTGCATATCTCCCTCAGCTTGGTGTGTTTAGTATTTTTATACTAATCTAGACACTGGCAGTACATATTCTAATCAACTGTTATGATAATTTTGTTCTTGCTCTAACAGTGCCCTGTTTGGTACAATAGAACACACAGCCTATCTAGATTGAACATGTTCCCAGTAACTAATACTTAGAACTTATCCTATAAAAACAGAAGTTCTTTGCAAATATTTTCTTACTTCCTTGTTTGTGCACAACTACTAATGATTGTATCACTACAGTTTTTGGAATTGGATTTATTACTTAACTCATATTCCAGCAGTCTAGTTATGAACAACTTGCTAACATATTGTATATCCACTTGTGGGTAAATTACGGCTGTTGACTTCTTTCTAACCCTGATCAACAACCTGTGAGTCAGTGGTAAAGCACTTTTCTTTGACATTTTATCACGCCAGATTATTTTAATGTTGTGTAACAATTTCTGTAAGCAAAAGGATACATTCCTCCTCTTGAAAATAGGTCTCGGCTATCTGCAATAGTGAAAAAAGAAAAATGAGGATTGCGTAATTTTCGTGAGAGTGGTAACGATATAATAGGGACTTTTAATCAGTTTTAAACATCTGTTTTGCAGGTTCATATTTACTTTGGGTAACATACAAGTGTTCACACTAAAATACATGTCTTCTTATTCTATGAAAGACATATAAAAAGAATATCAAACAACGAAGAAATATAAAGTCCTCTCGACATGAATGGATTTGCCAAAATCTAATAACCTGTTTTATCGTGTTACAACAAATTACTTCAGAATTTTTTTTAACACTCATATTAGAAAGTTTAAAACTGACCTAGAACAGAAGTACTGTGTTTACTGATATGAGTAGAAGAGTTTGAATTCTATTACTGAGCACTGTTTCCTTATGTTTGACCAAATTAAGATCATTGCTGAGCTGTCCTGAGCATTACAGTGCAATGTGATGTGATAGGATAAAACAGAGAAATGGAGGTTTCCTGACGGATGAGAAAAGACTAATAATTGGGTGAAAGATGAAAAATATCACCTATCACAGCATCAGAGAAATACCAATGGCCTTCCTGTTTATAACCTACTTGTAATAAATATTTACAATAATTACAGCAAATCTTTCAAATACATAGAATTTGAAACATTTACAATATGAATATTTGAAATTCATGAGATAAGCAAAAAGAAATCAAGTTCTTAATTTTTTCTGTATTACTCCTAGTCCACCCACAAAGCCAGACAAGACCATTGCAGCAGCTTTCTGCCACTTCCTTTTCTGCAACTGCTCTGCTGTTCTGAAGAGATTTATAGATCCTCTACCTCATATGCCAGTTCACTAAGCCTAAAACCTTGAAGCTCTTCAACAACAGAGCAAGTCATGGACTTAAGCCAGATGGCAGGTTTTGTTTTTTTTTCAGATTTTTTTTTCAGATGTGCGCAGTGGTTGTTACAACATTGAATAAATCTGTGTCTCTTCCTCCTTACGTTGACATTTCTATAACAGAACAACTAAAACTGGATTTGTAACAAGACAGCTCTGCCAGAGATGAGCACTGGAAAAAAAAAAAATCACAATTCTTCAAGACTTGTTCTCTTAGATTGATGTTGAGTTAATGCAGATATGTCAAACAAAAATACCAGGGAGTTGACACAAGAAATAAGCAAACTTTCCCTGCTGCATTTAGAGCTCAAAGTGCTGGGAAGGTTTCATAAAGAGAACAAAAACTATTCCAAAGCAGTTATTGAGGACGAGGAAAATTAAACATAACACAGACTACATATAAAATACTTGAACAACTAAGTCAATCTCCATTACTTGTAGCTTAAGAAAATGCATAAGATGACATTAAATATTGCTGTAACAGCTGCTCTCTTAGCCAATTACTAGGAAATGAACAAGGGATCTCTGTGCATAAGAATTCAAGATGTCTAGCTGCAACATCTTCCAGAACAACTGCACCCTGGCTGGGTAATTTTGTAATGCCTATCTTTAACATATCACTGCAAAAAGGAACCAAGGAGCTGTGTATAAACTAAGTACATGGGCATGCAAACGTAAGAGAAAATTATCGTCTCGTATACTGAGTTCTTGCCATATGAAAGCTACATATTTTAATTGCAGACAACTCAAACAGATTTACTAGCCTCTTCCTAGTGATGGTTTTGCTTTCAACCAGGTATTTCAAAGACAAAATTACAAGCATGGACATGGCAGAACTTCCAAAAGGAAAGTTAAGATGCCAATTAGAAAAGATACTTTTTCTGTTAATCTAGTAAAGGTATCAGTTTTTTATTTTTTTTTTTTTATTTCTTTTTTTTTTGACCCTAAATCTGGCATAAAGGACTACTGCTTAGACTAAAGGAGCAAAGACATCACTGTACTCCATGCAACCAGCTCAGAGAAAGCAATACCCAATCAGAATTTCACTTTGACTCTGAGTTGGTGATGGGGAGTATTATAGAAAACATTGAGCTGATAACCTGGAAAAAGTGTAATAACATATAGAAAAGCTAACATGGTAAATGAAACATTTTTCTTCCAGTTCCTTCCTGTAGACCAACAACAACTAATTTGTGCTTGCTAGAAAATGAGGCAGGCTCTCCTAGAAGCCTGATGGCTTTGTACGCAAAGGCAACAAAACAAAAAATATAAACCTCAGAAGTAAAAATATTTTGCTCCCCATAACTCTACAGTATCAGTGACCTTTACAAGCATTAACTAATCTTTGGGGACAGCAAAAGTTGACAGTCTTCTTATTTGCCATGCATGGTGTGGCAAGGGCCATGCTTGCAAAATGTGTCCAGTCACTCTGGGTACCCTGATATCTGGACATTCAGGTTATGGCACCTCATACCTGATACTCTGATGACTTCTGTGGGAGCACACAAACATTCAGTCTCAAAATCCTTGGGGCATACCAGTTTAGGCACTCATAATTTAACAAGTAGGCACTTTTGTAAAAGTCTAGACATGATTACTCAAAAAAGACAGCAGCTTGATAGAGGAGTCTAGATTACAAACTATATTCCTGACTCTCAGCCTTTTTACTAACCACTAGACCATTCTAAGCCCCATCCTTCAAAAGCCAATTGTGTTTGCTTTTCTTTTTTTTTTTTTTAATTTATTTTTTTACATTTTCTTTTCTGTCTACAGTAGTCTTCTAAAGATTTGTGGAGCTGCCAAAGCTCTGCATCTATGTTTTATAAGCAAACACCTAGTTTCTGTAAAAATGCTAAACAAATCACATGAATCCCACTCAAGACAGGAGCAAAATTAGACCCTATTTTAATTAAAAGCTAACCCTTAGAACAGCCCCTAAAAGTCCATAGCTTTTAAATATCTAATACAAGCTTTCCACTAACAATGTGGATTGTTAACACTCTAGAATTTTGACATAGAGAATAAAAAGAAAATGTGATAAAAGAGTATTTCCTAGACCTGCCAGGGAAAAAAGTTATTGGCAGGCTGTACTATCAATTTGAAAAATAGACTGAAGATGACAGGTTAATTTGCTGGAAAAGAAAAATAAAAAAATTAAATCTTTTATTTTTTCCCCAGATTAAAAAGTGTGTTATGATCCTTGTAAGTTCTGTTACCTTTCTTTCAAACTCTCCATTCAAAATGCTTGGTATTTCTTAGGAAAAAAGAGATGGTTTTTGATAACATGTTTGAATCTGGAAATGCAGATTCTGTTCTCAGTTCTGTTACAGTTCCTGCATGACTTTCAAAAGGTTATTACCCTTAGGGTTTGGCTTCCTCACCTAAAAAAGCAGCAGATTTCACCTCTATCATGTTCAATGACACACCTTAATGTTTGTAAAATGTTTTTAGGTTTTTGCTCTGTGTTATTTTCCAAAGCAAGCCTTTGTACTGAGTCACAAACGACCACCAAATCTGGCATGGCTAGAAGTCTGGTTAACTCTAATGCTACTAACGAAGGAGTGATATCAAGTATCTATCTTCACTCAGATTAAAACCAAAAATAATTTAATGTCAAATGTAAATTATCTATAAGATAACTAAAGAGAAACTTCTCTCTCAAATGCATTTGCTTATTTATATCACAGAGAATAAGAATGCAGGAGTATCATCACAGTTTGGAAATTTAAACTATTACAAACATCCATTTTTCCACAATAAAGATAATGCAACTAAGTCAAATCAGACACTGCATAGTATCCATGTGTATATGTATATATATATATAGCCCCTATCAGACACTACAGCCAAACAAAAAGTTTTTTAGTCCACTGTTAGTCTGACATAACTAAACTATAAATTAATACTGTGTCAAGTCCTATTAACATATTTATCTTGCATCAGTCTCCAGAAAGAAAAATATACTGGCCAGTTAGTAAAAAAAGATTGCTTTTCAAATCACCCAGTATTTCCTTTGGTCTTGCAGGTGTGGTAACTGTGCTATAAACAAGTACACACTGAGAAACCTTGAATCTTACCATTCATGCATGAAATTAATGTTCAAAAGTCTGCAACAGTAAAAATAATTCCAGATTTAAAATTTTATTTAGACATTAGCTGTCTTGTATTTATACCCGTGTCTCACAAAACATATTTAAGGTTTGTTGAAGAGGGATTTTCCTACATCTTCCTGCCAAACTAGAATTTTATCATTTGGGGTATTAGAAAATCCATCCTTAGGAGTTTCCTTTAATTGCAGAATGTATTGTCAAGGAAATTTATAATTTTACATGTATTAGAACACCTCAGAGGAGATATTTCCCTTGAGGACCTGCTATATATCAAAATACCCAGTCCAGATAAGAATACTGGCACATGTTAAATGAATGCATTTTTTTCCTAATGAATAAAAGTCTCAAAACCAAAATTATGTGCAACACCCCAGAATCATAGGAAGTACCTGATGGAGACACAGGGGTAGTATCTTTGAATCCATCTGTTCAACCTCTTCACGGAGCAAAGAGAAAAGGGACTGCAATGTTTCTTTTTGTTCTTTTTGGTGAAAGTTTTCATTTGCTTCAACAGCACCTTCAGCATGCATAGAATCTGTATCTGTAACAAGAGTATTGTCTTCCTTGATTGCTCTGGTTCCCACTGTAGGAACTCCTTTAAAAATAACAAATACTTAGGTTAGGATTCAAAAAATACATCAAGTTGTTTATTTTAGGAAATTTCAATATGAAAACTATGAATAAAAATCTAGTATTTTAGATAAGATACATCCCTGCAAGTAAATAAAATACTAGTCTGGCCAATATTAGTTGTGATGGGTCTGTCTCAGTTTCAGCTTACCTACCTGAGAGAAAACAGTAACATAGCAACCTGATCTAGTTAAAGATGTCCCTGCTCACTGCAGGAGGGTTGGAATAAATGACCTTTAAAGGTCCTTTCCAACCCAAACCATTCTGTAATTCTAGGTTACAACAGGTATTTTTAACCACTTCTAGCTGGGACCTGAGTTTAACTTGGGGCACCTCCTTCCCCCTCCCTGCTCCCTGAATTATTAATAAGAGACCAGGATAACCTAAAATAAAAAGTGTTGTGACTGGGGTTACAGTCTCAGCTAAAACATATCAATACTTAGATCCGTGTGGGGAAACTTCTGCATTCAGACTGAACTGTAATACAGCAGGGACAGAAAGTAGAGTTATTTGCCCCACAGTTTTGCCCAGAAAAGGAAAAAAAAAAAAGGTAGGAGAGTGTGAATGAGGTTCTCTGTGTCTTACTCCTGCCAAAGACCTTGTACAGGGAGATGTCCTGGGAATGGATGAGTGGAGGGACAGAAGCACGGGAGGGAGGACAATTTGACCTGTTCTTCAGATGATAACACAGTGGTTCCTCACAGTGATAACAGGATCTTAAAAGATAGAAAGAAGCAGATAATGACAGTAGGGGATTCTGTTGTGGGGGACAGAAATCCAGAGTAACTGTACTGCTGAAAAGGAAGAACCCTCTAGATAGCTGGATAGTTCATTTGAGAGTCCAGGGAATGAGACAGTAGTGGCCATCTATGTTGATAACAATGACACATGGCTGCATAAACTGAATTTAGCTTCCAGAACTTCTTGCTAGGCAGAAAAGTAGGTTCTCCATGGTACATTCCCTGGCAGTCCTCTGTTGCCTGTCTCCAATTTTATAGAAGTCAAAAACATCAGACATGCAGGTGGAAGACTGGCAACATGTACAAAGGATCACGTCAAGCATAATAGTAAAAAAAAAAATACCACAGGAAAAGCTTTCTGAGTGCAAATCCCACATTTTATTGTTAGAAAATAAATATTTGTAGTATACTGTTGATCATGAGTATGACAGCTATCAAATGAGATTAGTGAAGAAATGTAGAGCAGGCAGTAGTGATGGGAGAAATCAACTACCTATATACAGACAGGACCAGTTTCTCACAAAGATCAGAGAATAGAAGAAATAAAGGATGGCTTCCTATAACACACACAGTCTTAGGAGTAATCGGAAAACTACAGCTTATTCTACCAATTACTAAACAACTTTCTTTTCATAACAGCATTGAATTTCATACATTTACATGGGACTGAACTTTCAACAAAAATAATCCCATAATTTTTGAAAAACCAGTTTCTAGAATTTGGTCTCTGAAACATGCACAATAAATTTTCATAAACTTAGGTTATGAAGAGAATGTTATTCTTCCCCAGCTACACTCATTTTCTGAAAATCATGTTATCATTTAAAAGTAGGACAGGTGGTGGCACTGTTTCAAGGAACCATCACACTGTTTCTACAGCTTGGGCACTCAGCATATTTCAGACACCCTTATGTTTATAGTAACTGAAACACTATAGTGATGATTCAGGTTTAAAATTTGGGGCTTAAGAAAGTCATTAGCTTGTCCACTGAAGGCCCCACCGCTGTATTTTTGGTTATTTTAAACTCCTCATTATGTAAATTACCCAGGTCAGAAGTACTAATAATCCCTGTGGGTGGCTATTTTCACAGGGCTTACCGCCAGACAAAATACGGGTGGAACTTAACATTGCTTTTTCAATATTAATGCATGTCTCTGCTTTTCCAGTTTTTATTTGGACTTCTGTGGGCCAAAACCAACAAGAGGCATAACTAGATGCAAGATACAAAATAGGAAGTACTTCTAGAAATGGAGTTAGAGCTGGCTTCATATAGCTTTCTGTTGAGCACTTGATCATGAAACCAGAAAAGAGGGTCCACATCTTCTAGCAAACCCTTCCTCTCACAAAAAAAAACAAACCAAACCAAACCAAACCACAAAACCTTACTTCAAACTTCATTTTATTAAGCAGTTAATAATCACCTGTTATATCAAAAAATGAATGTTGACTGAACATCCTCAATAGCAACTATAATGAAAAGCTTTCATGTTATTGTGGTACTGTTCCTAACACACAGTTTATAAACTACACATTATTGCTACATATAGTTGAGCTGTCATTCACTTGGAATCAGACTCTGCCCTCAAATCACTCCCCTGATTCTGAAGCAAGGCCTTACAGCCATCCAGGTTAATTCTTCCTTGTTCTGTTTTAAACACAACACCGCATGTGTGCTTTAGAAGCACTATAAGCAAGAAGATTTCTTCAGGCAGTAACACTTAGTAATACTATTTCATTGTAAAGGTGTTAGGGGCTAAGGACACTATTTTTCTTTCCTCCACATTCTTGAAAACAGCACACAACACTGCACTGGTCCTGGAATAAGTTCATCTTGCTCTCCAAAGCAGGCTTTTTTCTTTTTATTTTCCACTAAAGACTAGTATCTTACATATATTTCTGACATTTAAAGAAGCAAGGATTAATTTTTTCACTTTGCAAAACATCAATATTTACTCCATACATTGATATTTTGTTCCATACTAGTATGTAACCAAAGTCTTTCTGAAAATAAACGTGGAAACTGACAGAAGATATCAACTCTCCAGTGGCCAGGTCTTTTGTTGACCACTTGTCCCTGTAAGGATATTATCATTAATGCCCAACACACAAAGCAGATTCCTCCCTCTGGTCTTAAATCATATGGAAGGGATCCAAGGTGGCCAGCCAAAGGATGAACAAAAAGGTTTATAAATTCACTCAGAATGCTGGATGCAGTGGAGGCAGCAGCAAGTTGACCAGGGACCCAGGTGACCAGTCCAACAAATGATGCCATCGCTCCTTCTCCTGCTCCTGGCTGTGCTGATGTGCTGCCACCGCTGGGGGCTCTGCCTGCAGGAGGCAGCTGGGGGAGGGGGGGCTTCCACTAACTGGAAATCCTACATAGTATGTTCACTGCATAAGCAATCTCTCCCAACCCGCTGTGCGCAGAGCCAGTTTTTATGCTGTTAACTTGGAGGAGGGACACCTGATGTTAATGCCAAAGGTGGGGGAACCTGGTGGAGACCTCCTAATTGGCTCCCACCCAAGGCTGGCCAGGCCCTGGTTGAAAATCAACCAGGAAGGTCTTTCCTGCCTGGTTGTGGACATCATCCACATGTCAACTTTGATTCAGGGCTGGGAGTTTAAACCCCAGCACTTCACCAGGGCACTTGGTAGGAATGTGACAGACAACTGGGTTCAAGTTTTTGCTCTGCCAGACTCACAGAGATTTGTACTGTCATCTTCCATGCTCAGCTGGGTGTGCCAATGTTTCCTAAGACATGGTGTTGTGGTTTGAGGTTTAGGGGTGGGACAATCCAAACCTTAAACCACAACACATGGAGAGAAGCAAAGCTTCTCAAAATTTCCCTAAGAGTTCAGAGAAGCAGCTCCAGGTTTGCAAAAGATCCAGTTTTGACAGATCTTGTGGATTAAGATGACAAATGCATTTTTCAGTATTTCTCACCTTTTGTTCTGTTAGTAGTGCACCTATATGAAATTAAGATGCTTTTGCCACCTGCGTGACAATGAGTCAGAGGTGGAAGTATAAGGCATTTGCTGTCAAAATAAAGTTTTGGACATTGTCTTCTGGTTTTTAACTGAATTTTAATTTTCACATTTGGTAGCATTAACTTAAGTCACCAGTAACAGAAGTTGTTAGTACAGAAAACATATGGTAATCTCTTTTTTTAAACATTCTTTGGTGTTCAGTACCAGAAAGCTGGTTCAGACTGATTCATTCAGGAACTATAAAAAAACCCCTCCAAACCAGAAACCAAACAAAAAAGCCCCAGAAAGTATTTTTAAAAATGTTTCATTTTTATGGGAAGAGATTTTAAGAGGAGCATTGGCAGTAAATATATAATGCTGCTCAAACTCAAAATCTTGTTTAGCGTGGCACAAAACCATAAATAAAATAACACTGCTTGAGTTTCCATATAGTTAGACTAGTTTATATTCCTACTTCTTATTTGTTGCAAAACCAAGTTCAGCCCAACCACTCCATTTTCTTCCCCCACATTCAAGATGCCTTAAGAAGTAAGGTGAATAATTTACAGGAAGAGAATTTAACTTGTTGCAGAATTTAACTTGAGGAAACTTATGATTAAGTGCAAATTACCATGCTATACTACTTCAAGGAATTACACATTGAGATTTTACAAGATGAAGTTGCTAGTTATGGCAGTTATCATTTGTAAAATGATTAAATTCTTTTCAGAGAATAGAGATAATTTGATGTCCACACTTACAAAAATACACTGAAGCAGATGACACTTCATGAATCACTCTCTTTACTGCACTAACGCTAGTACGATTCATTACGAGGAAGCCAAGTATGAATAATCACCAAAGTTTAGATTTGTCAATTTAAATTTACATCACTTTGATCACCACTTTCTTCCTCAAGCAGATATAATCACAGCCTATTCAAAACTATTATTAATATACAAAAAGAATGTGAGAGAAATTTGGTATCTGGAAGCTACAGACTTGTCAGTTCACTCTAATATGCCTACTGCAGCATCAGGACAGCTAAAAGGAGGTGGGTGCTTCTTCAAACAATGCCGAGGTGAAATCTTAGAACTACTTACTCCAGGACACTGAAAGGGACTCAAAAGCTAAGTGCAAGTCAGGTGGCAAATTCACTGTAAACTACTGCAGTTTATCAATTCCCACTTGGGGAAGTCCTGAATGGATAATGGCAGATGGCAAGGAAAACACACAAACCCTTCGCCTTGCCCTTATACTCTTACCTACCCATCCTCTGTTGGCCACTGTCAGGGGGAGAATACTGAACTAGGTGAATCTTCAACTGGATACAGTCGTTCTTCATCTTGCATTCCAGTCTACTGAGCTAGGATAATTCTAACTCCAACACTGTTTATGCTCTATAAGCAAGCAAGTAATCAGAGAGCTTCAAACACACTGCCAAGTGTGAGCACTGGCTCTTTGTTTTAAAGTAAAAACATATGTCCAGAGTGTAAGGTGGGCTTCTCTAATGATCACCAATCTTCTGCCGAGCAAGTCATGAATAAATAAAAACAAGTAAAATGTAATTTTCCATATTTCAGGTTCATTGCTTTAGTCACTAGTAAGAGAAGGAATATGAACGTCATGTTTTTTAAGTCAAATGTAATCTTTTCCAGAAGGACAACATTTAACAGCAACCCTAGGAGGTTTACTTATAAGGAAAGGAAAGAAGATTCATAATTCTCTTCTTTAACTATGAGTCAAAGTAACTATTCCATGATTTCTCAACAGTTAAAAATAAAAATTAAAAAAATATCATCATAACACATGCCATGCGAGTATTTAGTTTGTGATTCCAGCTTGCTTGTGCAGTGCTCTGCTGTCACCCGCTTTGGGATCTTCCACTCCGGTTTGATTATTCTCTCCTTTATCTCTGAGTTGGTATAAAGAAAAGAAAGCTGGTTTGGTTCTTTAATGAAGACAGATACTCAGGAATTTTTTAAAAAAGTTGGTGTTAAAAGTTAAATGGAAGATTCTCACTAAAATGAAGACATTTGCAACATCAAGAAATTGTGATAGTCACTGCATTGCATGACAGGAGAAACATCATGTGAGAATACCTAAAAAGCTAAATGTAAGTTAGCCAGTAATTGATGAGAGATATAATGTAATTTTGTATTCTAAACTTCCTTCTTTAGCAGTCATGGTTCTTTATTAATAATGTAGTAAGAGTTTGTTCACAGGAATGCAACAAAACTCTTAAAAGCTTTGTAGGCAGGATATTGTCTGTCATGGTATTTTATGTCTCTATATTTTTCCATGGAATTTTCTATATTTCAGATTTCTGCTTTTTGCCTTAAAACTGCCATCCACGGTGCACAGATCATTTTGTGGGACTTCTGCATGATTTGATTGCATTTAACAACAAGAATACAAACTAACAGAGAAAGGATATAAACTAACTGTAGGTTCCAGATGTTTGAGTGAACTTTTCCTTTTCTTCCTCTCATTGTGCTTCAGATACCTCTGCCCACACATCTGTATCACATTTCATCAATTTGTATTTCGTTATTCCTGTCATACAGATGGTTGGTTCTTAATTTCTGCCAATCTCGTTTTAATCAAGTATTTTCTCCTATTTTTAAATATTAAATCTACAGCTAAAATATATACTTAATGGCTTTCTGCATTATATAATGAGAACTCACTCTCCCTATAATGGCAGATTTCAGAATCCTCTGATCTATACTAGAAAATATTTTTTTTCCTCATCTAGATTTTGCCTGTATGTACAAGATACGGAACGCAAGGCTTCCTTCCTCTCCCCTCTGTACCTATTTTATAATCCTCTAAAGGTCATCATCACTTACCAAGCTTGCCATTTATCAGGAAAAACATTTTTAAAAAATTTTTATTGTATTTTAAAATTATCTATTTTAAGTGGACAAATTCCCCATTTTTTTCAGTCTTTAGATAAATAAAAAAAAGAGGCAGTATGGGGAAAAAAAGGCAAAATAGGCAAGATTCAGTTGTTCCAAGTAATTTTCACAGTACCTATGCAATGAAACAAACTGATTTTCATTAATGCATTTGCAGCACTGTGACACATAAGCTTTACGGTTTGTGGCAAAAAACTAATATAGTACCACACTGTATTGATGCAGACAAATCCTACTCATTCAAAAAGGGAAGATGCATCTAAAACAAGAATATCTAATAAACGTTTACATTTTTCTTATCTAATACACATATAAAAGACCTACAGGAGAAGTAACATCAAAAAATTGGTAGAAACACATTTTTAAACAGTTCATTAACCAAAATGCAACTCCTAGGACTATCTATTAAGATTTGAAAAATGTAAGTAAATTTTGACAACAGCAGGTCAAGGTCAAGCTATCTGGCACTCACACCAAGGTCTCGAATCTTGACACCAGATCAAAACACCAAGATCTCGCACTCCAGCATGATGTTCAAATGAACAAAACTCTACTGCCTGAACTCCTGGCTATTCTGATTTTGAAGTCAACTCAATTTCCACACTGAAACTCTGCACCTCCCTCTACCTGTACTTCCTTGGTATGTTCCATTTGCTACATAGCCAGCATTTAAATACAGAAGGTGAAAACATCTAGAATTGAATCTGACTTAGGACTCTTAACAGTTCTGAAAAAAAAAAACAAAACAAACAAAACCAAACCAAACAAACTAGTGAAATGGTAAAAATAATTACTATGACAACTAAAATATACATTTCTTATTAATTCACAGACTAGAACTACAGAGTTATTATTTTAAGTAAACACAAAAAACCCCAGTTTTTAATGAAGTACCTTTAGTTTTTTTACTGGAGCTTCTTTTGCTTCTTGGACTTCTTTTTCCACCCGTCTGTTTTTCTGTAGTAGGCTTCTCCTCCAGCTGGGAGCCCATATGGACACTTACAGGTCTCCTCTCAGTCTCACTTTCCTTACAGCTCGGGGTACAGTCTCCACTGTCCATGTTCTCATTATTATTGATGCTGTCCTGCTCACCTTTATCCTGTCGTCCCATAGCAAGGCTGCTACTGGTCAGAACCTCATTCCCATCATTGTCAAGCTGATTTTCATTTTCATCAGCTGAAGAAACCAAGAGAGATGCCAAACTTTCCATCAGGAATATTGTCCTTTGAGTCTATTTGTAGATCATTTGGTGGAAATTCTCTGTCATCCATTAGAACGTGACTTGCTGAAATACTTAATCTCCCCTCAAATATATTTAGACCTAAAATATAAAATATAAAAAGAAGCATTTAAAATTTGTATATTATGATGGATAAATGACCTTGTACTTAATGCTAGCCAATAGAGAATCCCATTAGCCAAGTGTGGGGCAACTCTTTCAAAGAGTAATCCATTGCCCCATTGTAAGTCTTAAAGCAAAGCATATCTACGTAAAAAAAAAATTATAAACTTTTTATCCAATTATAATTGGTTCTAGTTTCCTGACCAACAGCCACAGCTGATCATTACAGCAGTGCTCACAGTGCTACACAGCTTAGGTAACGAGAAAAACAAGAAGATCAACAGCAACCACCTCTACCACCCCCCTTTAAATCCATGGATAAAACAAAAGCATTCTTGTCACATAAGATCACAGTTTGCCTGAAATGAAAATAAATCAGTGAAGAATAAAAGCAGAAGAACTTTCAATTCTGTCAGTGATGGTAGCACATCAAACACGGAGATAGATGCAAGTAGAACCTGTTTATTGACTCAGATTGCCACTTTACCTTCAAGAAAATATTCAACATGTCTTCAGTATACACAAAAGCAGATGGTTTGTTAACAAAAAATAATCTAATCCCCCACCTACTCTCAGCAGGGGTCAATGTTCCCTTTTTTTGTGAACATGCAACTCTAATCAATGCTGCAGTTAGATACATATTCACAGGGAAAAAAAAGGGTAACTCTTAGCAGCAGAGTTACATGGTACTTACACAGGCCTGTACTTACACAAGCGTCCGACAGCAGCTTCCCATCCTTTCCTTTAAGTGAAAAGGCATTTTAGGAAACCTGTTCTCAGCAGGCTTTCTTCAGTCCTGGTATGTATTACTGAAATATGCACTTGCTAAATATGTAAGATAATGTTTCATTTTACTAATGAGAACAATTCAAATTGAAGAAAAAAATGGGAAAAAGCGCCTTAGAGAATAAGCAGGCTTTCCTTCGTATACAGAAACATATTTCTGTTAGAGATTACTACAGAGATTTTCCCAAATCAATCCTCCACAAACTTTGTAGCTGCTAAAGGGATTGGAAAAAAGAAAACGTTCCTCCTATCTTAGAGAGGGACAAGGAGTATTCAGGCAGCTACAGGCTACTCAGCTTCACCTGTCCCTGAAAGATGATATAGCAAATAATCCTAGAAACCACTTTCAAACAAATGAAGGACAAAGAGATCATCAAGCATAGTCAGCATGGATTTTTGATGGGTAAATAGTGCTTAACCAGCTTGATAAGCTTCTACAAGGGGGTGGTTGGCTCAGCAGAGGAGGGGGAGAACAACGGATGCTGTTTACCTTGACGCCGGTACAGCTTTTGACTCTGTCTCCAATAAGATCCTCACAGACAAGCACAAAAAGTACAGGCTAGATAAATAGTGAAGGGTTCCAGAGAAGCATGGAGAGAGTGACAATCCACCAGCAGCTGGGCAACGTAAGTGTGAAAGTCGTCACTAGCCAGGACAACTCCGTCTCCACTTCCATACTGAAGAACTTGTTAACCGTTTCCAACCATACAAGTACAATAAAAATGCTGCCTATCCCATAACCTAAGGAAACCATGCTTTACTGGGAAGGAGGTCAAACACTGGAACAGGCTTCCTACAGAGGTGGTGGATGCCCAAAGCCTGCCAGTGAATGCACTTAATAGCATGCTTTAACTTTTGGTCAGCCCTGAAATAATCAGACAGTTGGACTAGATATTTGTCGTAGGTCCCTTCCAATTGAAATATTCTATTCTAGAAGAAAAATAAATTGCACACTAGAGACACAAGTGGTGTTTTCCTTTGTCCCCCAGACAAGAGAATTGGATTTCTTTGACTATCAGAAAGACAAAGAAAGGAACTCTAGAGGAGATATGTATCTGGAGAATGCATCTATTCATTACAAGGATGATCCTTAATCATGCCCTTTTCTCTCAAAGGGAGTTCAACATGAAATGAAAGGTTAAAAGGAGGACATAACTTTAATCAGACCAGCAAGAATCAGAACCAGAAGATATTCTTTACAGACACCCACAATATCGTTACATTGATTTATTGATAACTGTTCTAAAGCATTTAAAAATATCCCAAACCCCATGTTAAACTTCAAAGTTTCACTTCCTACTCTTCCTAGTATAATCACTGCTGCCCTCCCTAGCTCATAAATTAAATGATACATCAAACAAAAGAGGTTGAACTAAATCGCCCAGAGCCAAAGAGGGATTAAACAGCCCTAATTAAAATGCAGGATGTCCTACCACCACTCTCTTGCTTCTGTCATTAGACAACAGTTTATCCTTCCAATAGTTATCACAGAGAAACAGAATATGTAAATGCATTTCAACAAGATGTTTCCTATAAGATTTTGCAAAATGAGGAGAAGATGCTTTTGACAAGTGACATTTTCTATAGAGGAAGCTAGCATTTTGATAGGAAATTCTATCTCACTTCCTTCTAACATGTGGCTAAAAGGATAGCCCCTCTCTAGCTGAGAGGTTGGAGAGCTGCAGCTAGCATAGATCAACAGTCCTTAGAGAACAGTCTTGGCCTTGATCTTTTAAACAAGTTTTTTTTTTTCCTCATAGTTGAAACTTTCTTTTCCCCTCCCTGTTTTCAATGTTACCATCTCCAATTCCTTTTGACTTTACCAAGTCACCAGGCAGGCACCATAGTGAAGCTAAATCCCATGAGAATGAACTTTAGCTCTGTCTAAAAACACAAGAAGTAATACTTATTTATAAACAAAAGTGGAATTAAAATTACTAATGATTTGAACTGTATTCAACAGACCTTTAACATACAGTAACTGTATTTGCTATTTGGCCATTGAAATGAATTGTACAGACAAACAACATGCTAAGAAAAAAATCTTTGTTTCTTCCTCTGCACATCTTTCCTCTCTTCACTGATTGCCCAAAATTGAAATAAAAGCTAACACTGAGTAGAACTGTGCTGACCTGTGTTAAAAGGTGCTGATGAATGAAAGTGCTTCAGTTCCAGCTGCCACACAGACTCATGCAATTGGCATACATAATCATGGTGATTATAGCACAAACTGAAAATAAGATGGAAAATACTTTCCAAGTGGCTAAAAGACAAAGTCTGTATTGAATAAATTAGTTGAATATTTGTTTGCTTTAAGACAAACACTATGTACATTACAGAAATATGGTATTCACTTCTATCTTACGTCCATTTCAGTTTTAAAAAACCCGTACTTTTCAGTATTCTTTTAAGTACTTCATATGATATCAACAACTTTTTTAGTTGCTCATTTTTGTGTGTCTACAGAGCCTTTCTTACATCTAACCTTACTAAGGAAATATAACTTTAAATACAGTTGTTTAGACTGTACTCTGAAAAAAAGGGAAGATCTGGGATCTTTTCTGACCTGGCATAGCCCAAATTTGAAGAGGAAGATAAAAAAACACCAAACCAAACCCAAAAATAACCAACATTTGCCCTGCTCCCCAAACACTTATACTAACACAGCTCCTCTGTCCTGAAAACCTGGTGGGTTTTGTGAATATTTACTGAATACATATTGCAGTATTTCATTTACTGATCTCAGAAGTCTCTTATAGAGCAGATCAAGATCATAACAACACACCTGCTGGCAAAAGTCTAAAAGGGTTCTAATGTTCAAAAAGTTTATGACAAATATTTTTTCTATTCCATTGGACTGCCTTCATATAGCTCCTCTGCTAAAGACAGTATTTTTCCTCTCTCATTCTCATGCCACTTAATTATTCTATCTTAATTAGGGAGATTTAAGTCTTTTAATTCTTTAAAAGTGATTTTCCCCATTACATTACCTATATCGCTCTTTTCAAATTGAATGGTCATTTCAGATTGGTTCCCAGTGTTGCTTCTACTCCATCTTTTCATTAACTTTGATGATATAACAAAATAACTGTATAAAATCTGTACTTAGAAGCAATCATAAATATTTGTGAGGATTTAATTCAAAATTAATTGTAGCAACAAATGATCCAAAAGGAGTAACATGAAATTCATTAAGACAAACAGAACATACTGAATCTTTTAGAAGAAATTAAGCACATCTACATGAAATATGAATTAACCAGTCATTCTGTTCTGATGAAAAGCATCTCATGAAGAGATACCAAACAGAGAACTGACCATAAGTCCATGTGGTTTTTATTTCTTAGATGTGATACAGCAAGTGTTACAGGAACAAGAGAATTCGTTCAGTCCTACCAGACACTAATCAACTACAGACATATTTTTGTTTTGTGCACAATACACACAAAAGACAATGTACACAAATGAGAGAACCCCGATCACAGTGAGGTAAGAGTCTGAGAGAGGAAGGGAGAGCACTACACGTAGTAATAGTTTTTCAGCCTAGAAAAGGTTGCCATATAAACAATCAAACAGGCTGTCTAGAGATGATGTGGAATTCTTACCCTTTTAAAGAAGAAATTAAGCAATTCTAATGCTTAAGGCCAGGTTGAAACCAGACAGTATCTAGGATTAAAGGAATTTAATTTTCTTTATTGTTGTAGTTTTTTTTATTTTTTTAAATATCAGCAGCTTCACAAGTCCCAGAGAAAAAAAAAATTCACACCAATTTTGTAAAAAGGAAAAAAGATTGTTTTTTAAACTATTATCTTTACAGAGTTGGTGCTTCCACCACTAGAACAAAAAAGGAAAACTGTGGAAATGCTGACATTTAAAGAATTACTCGACCCATATATTGCTTAAAAGAATAAATCTGTTGATCTTTCTGACAACTGGTGTAAAGATGCATTAAAAGACCACATTTAAATGTTAGTATCTTCTTTCATATAGGTAAATAATCTTCTACAAATTAATAAAAACCAATGTGAAAACTATCATGGCCACAGAAATCAAAATATGTACTGAAAATTCTGATTATTGCACATTAATTTCCACATACAAAGAAGAACACTGATCTAATGTTATGAACAATTACATTTGCTA